ATCAGATTTTCTGGAACTGGAGTTACAGTTGTGAGGCTCCATGTGGGTGCTGGGAATTGAACCCGAGTCCTCTGGGAGAGCAGTCAGTGCTCTTAACCATTGAGCAATCTCTCCAGCCCCCACTTATTTGTCTGAGACAGAGTCTCTTAATGTAGCCTGGAACTCATGGTTCCCCTGCTTCAGCCTCCCTGGTACTGTGTCAGGGATGTATGCCACCTGTCAGGGATGTGTGCCACCTGTCTTTCACACTGGTTGGTGAGCTGGCTTGGTGTGTAAGGACACCAGCTGCCAAGCTTGGCAAACTCAGTTTGGTCTCCAGGTCCCAGATGGTCGGAGAACTGAAGTGGCTGAATTACGGCTGCTGAGTCCGAGTATGTGCTGGTAGCTTCCCCTCCATCAGATGCTTGTCTTCCTGTTCCGTGTGCTGTCGTTTCCTCCTCTGCAAGTTGTTTACACTTGGATGCAGTTTCTGTTTTTCTGTTTTGTTACTTTTGTTTGAGTCTGGGTGTCTATGTAGCCCTGGCTGCCCTGGAACTCATTCTGTAGACCAGACTGGCCTCTGACTCACAGAGACCCACCTGCCTCTGCCTCCCGAGTGCAGGGATTATTGGTGTGCCCCAATACGCCTAGCTCTTTGTTTTGCTGTTTTGTCTTCTGAGGCAGGGCCTCCTGCAGCTCAGGCTGGCCTTGAACTCCTAGTCCTCCTGCCTCTGCCTCTCGAAGTGCACACCACATAGCTCCATTGTCCTGGGTGCTTTATCTCTGGCTCCCTTGCCCGTTCAGACTCCTACTCGGAGGAAAGTTAGCCTTTCCCCAGCTGGCAACATACAGTCAGCAGGCGGGCCCAGTGGCTTCTCCTGATACTTGGTTTGCACACAGTGTTGAGGAAGGGGTCTTGGATGACACCTTGTAAAGAAACACCTACCAGACCAAGTGCAGAGCAGGCTGAGGAGCCCCATCAGGTGAGAACCTACCTGACTCGCAGGCTGACGGTGCTGGAGCAGCTCAGATGGGCGCAGGGGAAGTCAGAAGCAATCACAGGGATCTGGAGGTACAGGAGCTGCAGAGGCGGAGGACAGCTATCTTCCTGATTACCCACCATCTTGCCAGTCAGGTACCTTACAGGCTGCCACTTGATCCCCATGGGAGGACTACAGCAAGGATTCCCTGGGAACAAGACATAAATCTACAACTCCATCGTTGCAGTGTAGACACACGCAGTGCAGAAACGTGTCCAAGGAGGACCTGATTACACATTGGACACCCGTTCTAAGTGGAATCACCAGTGAACGGGTCCAGCTTGGCGTGTGTACCAACAGGGACACCAGCCTTTCCAGGACCTGGAGAACATGTGCCTGCTCCTTCTCACTGGGGTGCCTGTGTGTTTTGTGGAGTAGTAGTGTAGGGGGTACATATGGCTACATAGGTGCTCTGGTTTTATGGTTTTTTTATTGCTAGGGATTGAGTCTCACTCATGCTGAGCACACCCTACCGATGAGTTGCACCCCACCCCCAAGTATTTGGGTTTTATTGTCTTTAAAAGTGCAAATGAAAAATTTCAAATCCCAAAGAAAAATCAAGTCCTGGACATGAAGGAGCAGCTCAGTGGTGGATGAGTGCCCAGCAAATTCAGTCCTGGGCTGGCATCTCAGTGGGATAAGGGGTTGGGGTGTCCAAGTCTTGTGCCTAACATCACTCTCATTGAGGGTATGGCTGTTGAGGGAAGAGTATATCCACTCATGCAAAGGTCAGGGAAGCATTTCATTTATACAGCAGAGTAATTATTACCTAGTTAAAATAACATATAGTCATTATCACTGAGTCTATGTAGACCAAACTAGCCTTGAACTTGCAATTCTTCTGCCTCAGGCCTGTGCCATCCTAAGCGGCCAGTGCAGTTACTTCTGGGTGATGAGATGACAGATGCAGCTTATTCATTTTTTTAACCTAAAAATAAAGCAAGAAGCTTTGTCCATCCTCAGAGCCAACCTGCCCTGGCAGATGCTGCAGCCACCTCTCTGGACCGTGAGGGCTAATGGCTTCTGAGTGTGATGTGTGAGGCAGTAGGCTGGGCAAAAATCAGTCACCACTGCAGTGGGCTCGGGTGGGAACTCTCAATAACTTACCAACTCATTTGGAAATCGGCATTAGCTACCAAATGTAAAGTATTAGTTTTATTAAAATGCAAATCTATCAACTAATCTGCCTTTCTAGTAACAGTTGAATTGCAGGATCCGTGTCAACTAAAATAGTTTCCAATTTATTCCTGGCTGGCAGGAGGGCGGTCTTCTGCATTTTAAAATGCACATCTCTCCTTCAGTGAGAATTCTCTTCCTTCTTCATCTTGCCTGTCTCTAACTCATTTTAATTGAACTTGCTGGGCTCCAGATATTTTGATCTGTTTAAGCCTTCTTCCTCATCAGGAGTAACCTGTGTCCTTCTGGCTCCCACCAGCCTCCCAGATGCTCATCCCCACACTGTTCTTTGAGCAGACTCTGTCTGTGTCCCTAGGGTGGGACTGCCTGGGATACTCTCGATTTTAAAAAGTGACCATTAGGGAAAAGGCCTTTGTGTGGGACCCACTGATTTTGGCTGACTTACCTTTTGAATGACTGGAGACAGTCTAAATTTATGCATTTCCTCGACAGTCAAGCCTAAGGTTCCTTGGAATCAATATGGAGAGGCACAATGAGGAAGAGGTGGAAAGCCATGGCCTCCAGTAGCCCCATCCACAGAGTAACTGTGGTACACATTCCCCCAACACTCCTTGCTTGGAACTTGGCCTTTGGTACCACAGAGCAGTCCCGAACCACAGGTGAAACATACACGGGATTCCTGTACAAGAAACTGCCACTGGGCTACACTATCCAAACCTGACTTTATAGATGCTGGATATTAACTGAATCTGCACCCAGGTCTGGAGTCATTATCTCTGCTCTTATTCGGTTGCTCTAAATAAAAAATTGGGGCAAAGGAGTAGTGTGTGCCGGCCTGAGATGACCACACTTCACATGCAGGATAATCTCTGGTAGATATTGACTACAGCAGGCCAATAAATCTTCCTCTTGGGGATTTAATTCCCAGCTTTTGACCTATGGATGAAAAACATGTGACCCACTGCCTCCTGCTGGATTATCCCAGTGACATAGGAACGGGGAGAGAAGGGCCCGAGGAATTCTTTCTTCTCCTTGTATCTCTAAAAAAGCCCTGGCTGTCCTAGAACTTACTCTGTAGACTAGGCTGGCCTTGAAGTCAGATCTGTCTGCCTCTTCCTGCCACCAGTGCTGGGATGAAGAGGCAACAAGAGAGAAGTTAGGGTCGACTTTCGGCTCCCTAGCTGTAAACTGTCAAGTAGGAATTCTCAGGGTCCAACAGTGGGCTCAGGGACCCGGTGCTCTCAGAGTCTTGCCAAGCCAGTGCTCATCCACCCAAAGCAGCACAGGTGTTTTTTCATGGATTTAATAATTAGCATTTTGCTTTCAGTGCTAGAGATGGAACTGAGGGCCTCTGCATGCCGGGCAAGTGCTCCACTAATGGGCTACATCCTCTGGCCCAAACTGTTATTCTTTTTTCTTTTTTTTTTTTAAGCTTTATTATGTATACAGTATTCTTCCTCCATGTATGCCTGCAGGCCAGAGGAGGGCGCCAGATCTCATTACAGATGGTTGTGAGCCACCATGTGGTTGATGGGAATTGAACTCAGGACCTCTGGAGGAGCAGCCAGTGCTCTTAACCCCTCAGCCATCTCTCCAGTCCCAACTGTTATTTTTTTCATTGAAAAATCCTAAGCATATATTTTCATGGTCTTAAGCATGACATTCTAGATGCACACAGCAGGAAGTGGCTGAACTGAGTCCTTACCAGATCCAGTGCCACACTGACTACATTTTTGTGGTGAGACATGTGGAATTTATTCCCATTACTCTGGCCCTCAAAGCTGACTCCTCCATCCCCTCCTGGCTGCCACCCGACAATCATCCTCCTCTTCATCTGGGAGTTAACTCTTTTATACTTTGCTTATAGCTGAAATCTTTGTCTCTCTGTTCCTGACTTATTTCATTTAACAGTGTCCTCTAGGATTATCCAAGCCGTCACCAAAGAAAGAATCCTTTCTTGGTTAAAGGCTGAATAGAATTCCTCTGTGTGCTTATACCACATAAGCACACCCATCCATACTTAGAAAAAACATCCATATTGAGAATAGACTTCTCAAAAAGAAGATACACAAATGGCCAAAAGGATCACTAGAGAACGCTAGACATAGCTGATTGTTAGTGAGGTGCAAATTAAAGCACACCAAGGCATCACCTGGTAAAATGGCTTTTCACCAAAGTTCAGTCATGACAAATGTTGGCAGAGCAGCAAAGTGAGCCTCTGAACACTATTTGGGGCTGAAAGCTAGAGCGGCCATTATGAAGCACAGCATGGAAGCTCCTCCAAACCCCGAAAAGGGACTGGGAAGCAGAACACATGCTCAGAGCATGTCAAGTCCTGGGTTCCCAGCACTGTATGAGCACACAAGCATGCACATGGACACACAAAACAGAACCACCATCTGCCCCAGCAGTCCCAGTTCAGTGTAAGCACCAAAGGGAATGGAGGTCAGCAGTGATAGTCAGATGAGCCAACAGTTACCACAATGCCATTCACAACAGTCCAGATGTGGGAACAACCTAACAACCTGAACGTCTATTCAGGGATAAATGGACAAGAAATGGAGGGTGGTTCTTTTTGTTTTGTTTTGTTTTGTTTCTTTCAAGACAGGGTTTCTGTGTAGCCCTGGCTCTTCTGGAACTAGCTTTGTAGACCAGGCTAGCCTCAAACTCACAGAGATCAGCCTGATTAAAGCATGCACCACCACTACCCAGCAGGAAATGGAGTTTTATGCTGTACAAGTAGACAATTTAAGTAGAAAACTACAAACCCTTTCAGCAGGTGTCATTGTGGATTTAACCTAAACTATCTCCTCTAGCTCAATAACTCACACTGATGACCACAGATTTCTTTAAAAAGATTTATTTAAGTTTTAATTTTGTCTGTGTGGGAATGAGTACACACCTGAATGCTGGTGATTACAGAGGCCACACGATGGCACTGAATCCCCATCCCCTGGAACTGGAGTTAGAGGCTGTTCTGAGACACTGGATGTAGGTGCTAGGAACTGAACTTGGGTCCTCTCCAAGAGCAGTAAGTGCTCTTAACCCCTGAGCCATGGCTCTAGCCCTGATAATATCTGAATGTTAAAAGACTCAGAGGCTGAGCTTTCCTGGATGTAAGGTACATGCTCCCAAAAGAGCACGGTTCCAGGGATCCCCAGTGCTGCACCCCGAAGTCATCTATCCTTGAAGCAGCCAGGTGGGTCCTGGTGTGGGGGTCGGGGTCTGGGGTGAGAGGACAGCGAGTTCAGTCCCCATGGTCCATGTCAGGAGGGTTGAGCTGGCCGAAAAGAGATCGATACAACTCGGTCCTAGAAATAAAACAAACTGGTTAACATGCTGCTTAACTTTTCAAGGTTAAAAAGAAACCAAGAAGCTGGGAAACACCTTCATCTGTTTCTTCAATTGAAAACACAGCCGTATAATTAAGAACCACATCTCGGAGTGCTTATTCACAAATACAAGGGAAGGAAGAAACGCAGAAGCAGCCAATCACATAGTGAAACATGTAAATAGCCCAGTGTGGCTGGACACCCTGTCTCCAGGGAATGAGTTTTCTGTAAGTTTGCCCTTTACAGACAGGCTCTTCAAGTAAGAAAACAAGATTGAATATTTTAATAGGATATATGAGACTGGCACGCACCGAGAGGATTCAATCAGACATGGGATGTAGGGGATATAATTTAGTTTTCATACATTTTCTAGGACTTGGCAGTACTTGAAAAACAATGAAAATGACCCGGCAACAAGATTCCAATTATGATCATATGTGCAGAGGTTCAGAACAGAACCAGGGCTCTTCCCCTCCCCCACACCCTTTTCTCTAATCTCAGTCTAAGAAATAATTTAATTGTCTAATTTATTTTTAAAGTTGGATTTTAAAAATTAACATTATTGGGCCGAGGAGGCAGCTCACTAAAATGCTTGCTAAGTAAAATGTATAAGCCTGAGTTCAGACCTCCAGTACCCATGTGAAAAGCTACATGTAACATGCATCCAGTGACCTCAGTGTTGTGGGGGGAGGGGAAACAGGAGGATCACTGGGGCTTGTGGGCCAGCTAGGCTAGCTGGAAAAACTGCTTTCTAGGTTCCGCAAGAGGAAGTTGGCTGGCTCCTCCCTGTGACCTTTGTAGTGACCTGAATATATAACATGTATACAAGAATATAATACACACCATACACCAACAAAATAAAACTAGCTACCCGTGTGTGTGCATGTGGCATGTGTGTTGGGACTTTCTTCAGGAGCCGTCCAACTGTGTGCTGAGATGGCTTCTCTGACCTGTGGCTGGCTGGGCAATAAGTTCTAGGAATCCTCCTGTCTCTGCCTCCCCAGTACTGGGGTTGTAAGTGTGCACCACCCTTTCCTGGCCTTTTATGTGAGTGCTGAGATCAAACACAGGTCCTCATTTGTATAGCAACTGCTTCATCAACTGGGCCATCCCCCTAACCCGTTATAGTTTTGAGATAGGTAGGGTCTTACTACTTTTGACACCAGCTTCATATTCTGGATCCTACTGCCTCTGCCCTTCAAGTGCTGGGATTACAGGTATGTACCACTGCCCAACTCTAAAGCTCAATTTGGACATTAAAAGTATGGTGATAAGTGCCTGGAAAGGTGGCTTGGAGGTTAAGAGAACTTGCTGCTCTTCAAAAGACCAGAGTTTATTTTTTCCTGTGCCCATGCCAGGCAGCTAACAGTCACCTATAACTCCAGCTCCAGGCACTTTAATGCCCTCTTCAGATATGTACAAACTCTCACACACAGAAGAAAGAATAAACCTTTAAAATAGCGCGAGTGACCACTACAACTTCTATTGCTGTTGTATGCAATGCACATGGATCAGTGAGGGAAATGGCAGAGAATGTAGTTTGGGGTGTGGGGGTGCAGAAATCTTGCTAGAGGAACCAGGTTCTGTGTATTTCCTCTGTGGATGGGGCAGAGCTGCCCCACAGGAGGAGGCTCAAAGCTCCAACAGACCAGACCCATGGGATATGAATCCCTGAGACCCAGTAAACAACCCTAGGGCCACACCTAACTGAGGCAAGGGTCCACATCTGCTTCTGTCCATAGGAAAAGTGACTGCCTAGAATCAGAACAGTCACAGGACTCTTGATGAATCAGGAGTTCGCATCCCAGGGAATGTCACACCAGACCTTCAGATCTGCCTCTCAACAGTCTGCCATCATTTTAAGAAAATGGTTTCTGAAGGTGTTCCTGCTGCCTGAGAACTTCCAGCAGCCACCCTGATGCAACAAAAGTCATCTTTGCAAGTAGTCTTAATTTGTCTTGTCTAATAGGGTCCGGACTGGCTCTAACTTGTAGCCTGTCTCTCTGCTGCCAATGGTAGGAGTAGTCTGTACCACGATGCTGGCTCAGCTTTTCAGCACTCACCCTGCTGTAGCTACAGAGTAAGAGATGGAACCCCAGCAGAAAGGACATCAAAGCAGAGGGAGGCAAGGAGGGAGGAAATGAAGGAGGAAGGGAGACGGAAAACTCTGAATGGCAGAAGTCAGCTGTAGATCAGCTCTGTCATGAAGGGATCACTGTACAGGCAGAGAAACTGTGGACAGAAAATGACAGAGGATCTTCAGTTTTATTACAGGAATTTTATAGTCACATGAATTTGCTGGAAGCCTCATCCTAAAGTGCCAACCAGCCCTGAACCCCACACATTCCTGTTGTTCCCTAGCTCTAGGCATCTGTCCAGCCCTACAAAGGAGGAAGACCTCACCCCAAATGCAAATGAGCACCCACGTGCTGCCCTGCAGATCCCAGCAGCCCTGCCCAGCCTTCAGTCCTTGCACTGTGGCCTGACCATCTGCCGACACACACAAGCCTCTCTAGCCATTTCAACCAAAAAAACGAAACATGAAGGAGACAGACTAAAAGGACAGCATGACTTCAAGGTGATGCCGGCTGAGGAGAGAAGCAGGGCTATTTTATCCTTTTATTTCCTTCCAAGACTCACCCTGCCAGCTTATATTGAGAGCTATCATTGTCCCTAAACAAATGATTCCACTAGGTTCCACAATGGCAGCATAGTGCATTGGCCAAAGACAGCAGTCATTGTCCACTGAGGGGTCACGTGTCAGGAGCAGAGTGAAATGCTGAACCTGTGTTTTAAGAGAACATCATTTCACACTTGGTGCGCTAAACTGACAAACATGTGCAGCTACTTGTGGCGAAGCAACCTGGGAAATCGAGTGGTCTCTTTTCTTAAAATATATTTAGAGGGAGACAGGTTGAGTGAAGAAAAGATTATTCTAATCTAAACACCCACAAGCAAATCCAGCATCTTCCTCACCCATTGCCCTTGGCTGCTTCAGATAGAACTTACCTCTTAACAAAGAACACAGGATGACCCCCCTTTTTTGCCAATCCTTCTACTCCAGTTCTACACATCCAGGAGAACCCCTCCTTGCAGTCCTAGAGCAACACTGGGTCAGGCCCCCCCTTGGCTAGTGTGCTGAACTCTGCCACACCTTTTCCACTCCAGCCCCCTCCCCCAAACCTAGCACTCCAGCTATACTGGACTTTGAACACATACGTGGCTTTGGCAAAACCAGAGCTCAGTCTTGCAGAAAGAATACAAAACCCTGCATCCCAACACACATTTAAAATCGCCATGTAATGTGTTTTGGGTGGCATTTTTATTTATTTGTTTTATTTTTGTATGTATGTGGGTGGGTGTACATGCTTGGTCACATGTGGAGGTCAGAGGATAACTTGTGGGAGTTGGTTCTCTCCCACCACCACGTGGGTTTAGACTACTGAATTCAGTTGTAAGGTTGGCAGCAAGTGCCTATACCCCAGGAGCCCTCTAAGCAACACTAAGTAAAGTTTTCTTGATAAATTTAACTAGTCCCACTTACACGCAGGTGCAAGATCTGCTGTCAGCTGAGGAAAACACACTAGGAATGAGACAGCTCACAGGCACAAGGCAGTCAGAGGCTTCTGCTGCCTTCCCTGCAGGGCTCTCCCCAGCCAGGGCTGTCTGCACACAGATCCACTGCTAACTCTCCAGTGCACATGGAGAACTGATGCTGAGGTCCATCAGGTTCTGCACAGTGAACCTGGTAAGCTTTTGTTTCAAAAACAGAATCCTGCTCCTCATCACACTGGGAATAAAGCTAAGAATCTCTGATCTGGAATGCCTCCCTGCTTTATCTCTTGTACCCTTGCTCTTGTTGGCCAGTGGCAATGTCCACTGTAGCACATGTATGAACGTTAGAGTTACACAGGAGAACAGGCAACAGAGTAATTACTGGGATTTGGACCCAGGGTGGAAGGGTCGATGGTAGGGGTTCTTCCTTGAATTAAAATTTAACTCACCCTTTATTACAACCTACAAAAGCAAGTAATGAGCATGAACATTTTTATTTCTTTTAAACTGTCATTTAGGCTGCAGAGGGGATAATTACCTATCTCTAGTGTAGTAAGGTTTTATAACCCTTAGTGAGGCATTTTCTAATTTAATATTTTTACTATATTATAATAAAACCTATTTCTGGAAAAAAATGATCATGCAGTAGCAGCCATTTTCCATAAAGACAGAGTGTATGTGCATGTGTGAGCAAGGATGTGGTTTACTGTGTCTTCGGAAGGAAGATAGAATGGTGGGTCTGGCTTCGGCTGAGAAGTGCAAGCAAAACTTGGGTGGGTGAGGATTTGCACATTCCTTAGTAAAATGAGGGTATGCACAACACAGCCCTCAGCTTTATGTGTGCACTTCTCACAGAACTGCAATACACATCATTGTCTTTCATGATGCTATTTGGGCAAGCAGTGTATTAAACCTGCAAATGGCCTATGCAGGGCTTTTAATTTGCTAGGTCAGTAGCTTGCAGCATCCAGCTCTGAACTCTCTATCTGCTTTCTCGAAGACCATGCTCCTCCTACTGTGGCCTGAACTCCCCAAACTCCAAGACAACCCCAGCCCCTGCTGCTTTTGTGGGTACCACAAAGAAAGCAGCTGACCCACTGTTCCCCAGAAAAAACCTGCCCACCCTTTAAAACTAGATCATGGTCTCTAAGTGAATGACATGTCCTCCAAACGCACCCTGCAACACAGTAACCTGCCCTTCTGATTAAGGGCATAATTTGAGTCAGGCCTGTGGTTTCAGCACTTGGGAGGCTGAGGCAAATTGATCTCAAGTTCAAAGCCAGGCTGGGCTATATACCAAGAACCTGCCTATAATTGGAAGAGAAGAAAGGAGAAAAAAAGAGAAAGATAGCTTCAAATCTATATACATGTCATTGATTAATCTTAAAATGTTCATTTGTTGCCTCTCAGGAGCCAGGCAACCC